AACTAGGACAATGGACATCCACCAGCTACTGAAATAATCATTTAAGAGACTGGCAAAATGTCTGAAGGCTGCAAGCTTTCCATGGTATTTGAGAATGCTTTAACTTTAAAATGTTGGCTAGTAGATTTAAGTCTTAGGGAAAAACCTAGTCATTTCCTAGGGGAGTGTCTGAATTCACCTCAGGATATGTCTGTCCAATTCACTGCATCACCAACTGGAAAAAAAAAGAAAGACATTTTGACGGATCCTTTATCCATGTGATATTCCCCCCTCCCTCCCCCGCCCCCTGACTGACACAACTATACTAGGCAATGATAAAGTAGGGTTGGATATGCTAGGAAAAACTGTCTTTTTTTTAATGATAAAGGTGATTTCATTCAAGGAACTGGTTTAAATTCTGCCAGAGCAGTCTATATAAACTCCATTTCCTGAAGTCGGGCTTGTGATCACACCCTGCAAAATACTGCTAAATCCTTTCACATGTAGTTCAATGGCTCAGATAGGAGAGAAGCTGAGACAATTCCCTAGAGAGAGGTTGAAAGTATCCCAGATCATTTAAAGAGGATGTTAATGATGATCTATCTAATTATAACAACGTAAATATCAGCACCATTAGCGATTTCATTTCTTATTATAGCATGGCAAAAAGGAGATAAACAGATTATTTATGCTAGTTCTGTGTGAAATCTATTTTTGTGTCTTTATTGGATGTAGGCTGTTAGAGACACTGTGTTTTTCCCCATATGCTCCCTGCCTGATAATTAATATGTATAGGGTGCTTTTAAAAGCAAACACAGGAAACTCATTCTGCTTGGGTTTTTTAGTGTGTCAATGGTCATATTAAAAAATATCTCAGGCAAAACAGCACAATTTTAAATTTTTTGGAAGAAGAAAATATTCTTCTGAAGAATGTTCATAATAATGAAGTGTTTTAATACAAATATACATCTGAAGTCAGGGAGGGTAAAAGTATCTTGAACAAAACTTTGTTTTTAGGAGATTGAGAGCTCAGACTTTATATGTAAACAGCCCAGAAGTACAGAATTTTCTGCAGAAAATAATACTCTATTTTTCTATGTGTAAAAGCCAGCTCTTTGCCTTAGTTTTCCTTCAGCAATTACAACAGAGTTTTAAAAAGAAATATATAATCTTTACAAATAAGGATAGAAGGGGATAAAAAATATTACTGGGTTTTGATCTATTTAATTGTATTATACAGCATTCAAAAAAACCTAGTGATGAATATAATATAAATAGCTAGATTAGTTAGATTAGACATTCAGAGAAATAGGATGGTGGATAAAAGATGAGTATCCTTCTACTGCTAGAGTAGAAAGATAATCCTGATCACTGGGGATCAGTCATTCTTCCACTGAAATCTAGCAAGATCCCCAGTGTTAGTAGAAGAAGGAGAAAGACACAAAGCTCCCTTGCTACGGACCACCAGGACAAATTATGAATATCAAGTCTGTGAAGGGCTACAACAAGCATCCTTAGAAAATTCAGACTCTTGAGTGAGGGTTGTTACTTTGAAAAATTTGGATATTTGCTGATAAATTTCCATTTTTTCAATAGCAATAATAACAAACAAAAATCCAAATAATGAAAGAATCTAAAGCTACGACTTTACACTAGTATGCAGTGGTACATCAGTTTATAATTTCTTTCAAAACTAAGAGATTCCACCCTATTAGTTCTTTCCCTACTTGGGCCCCATCCCATTTGCCTTCCCTACACCAATTCCCCGTTAGTAACTGCAGATCAGGTTTTTGCCCTGACATTTATATCCTTCCCAAATGCGGTCACTTCCATCAGCTCTTCATCCCACCTGAGGCCGTGTACCTTTCCCTGTGCCCCCAGCTGCAACTTCTGCAGACTTTGAGGATTTTGACATGGTACAACCTCATATGCCTCTTTTTTTCCTCACCAGTTACCTCTTGAGACCTCTCTGCTGTATGAGGCAGCCATGCAACAAGGGGTATGCATACGTGGGAGCAAAATGCACTGGCCAAGTTCTCTTGTGATGGATATTGCATAAATGACCAGAAATCGGTGCCATTGCTCCCTAAAGAGAGTAAAAGAAGCTTAGAGTATCCAAGACCCTTCAGCTAAGCACAATGAAAATGGGCAGCTCTGTTCAGGGAGGCGCCTTTCTTAGCACCTTTCATGTCCGATTCAGAGGAACCATACTTGAAAGATGCAATAGCAGGACAAAACCTACAAATTAATAAAATATAATGATTTTTCCACACATCTGGATTGCCCTTCCAAGAGAAACTGACCTCCAAAATTTGTCTATGATGTTTCCCTGCAAGTAGGAATTGGCTTTTGCAGAAGACCCGTTGAGCTTCTTTTATGCTCTTCATTGTCAAGGTGTTGAAACACAATATGTTTCAAATGGCAAATGTCACCCACTCGAAGTTTGTTTTTATTTTCTGCTTGGCCATTCAGACAGGCTCAGGCAGAAACCTCAGTTGTTGTTCCTGTGTTTCCCTTCTCTCAAGGCTCTCGCTGCTCAGAAATGCATTAGGAATCTATTTTTCATAAGTAAAGCTTTAAGCATTCTATCGGCTATTTAGTTTATAATTTTTTTTGTCTGTCTTAATGTTGACGCGAGTTGAGTGTAGAGAAATGTTTGGGATTCTTTTATCTTAAATCAGAAATAGATGTCGTGAACAGAACTGGTGTGAATCATATTAAAAAAACAAAACAAAACAAGAACAAACAAGCAAAACAAAACCAAAACCCCTAGAATAAATATGAAATATTGTTTTATGATACAAGAAGATGTCCAAACATACAGGAAACAATTTTTTCTTTAAAAAATCTAAGAGGAATACTGGCTTGAAGGGCCAGCCTCAACTTAAAATCATGCCCCCATTTGAGCGTCTTTTCTACCTATTGTTCAAAGCAGTATCTTAACATCAGCAATACTGAATTATAAATGGTTAAACAAACAGGATTTTCCACATTAATTTGTTTCTTTTATAAAGTAACGTTTTGCATGTTGGTTAATTTCCCCTGTTGCTTTTAAGGGCTTTCATTATACAAAGACGAAAAAAAAGTTCAAGAAAATTGATTGCAAAAGTGGAAAGGAATAGGTAATAGGCAGAAAATGAGAGAAGGGTATCATGGGCTGAAGGAATCATATTGCTCTTAAACAGACCTGTAAAGGGACCAGAGGTTTGCCTAATTATTCTGTACACCACCCCCCCCAGTATATATATATGTACCAGGGGGTGGTATAAATGCTACATATGGTGCATACATAGAGCGGTATATATAGTACATATACCTAAATCCAAACATCCACAGTACCATATTACCATTATCGTATATTATGAAACAGCTACCATTTTCCTACGTATATGAGATTGGAAAAGGAACTCATATAAGATGACAAAATTTGGAAGAATATCAGCTCTTTGTATTCAGGTCCTGCTGTCGCACACTCTCCTTCCTGCGCAGCGCTGTGCCTGTCAGCAGTATCAGTTGGGCAACCAAGGGCTGCTCCTTCTGAGCAGGGGCAGATTTTCCCGTTGGTATGTGGTGAAATTGCTGGCTATGGAGTCATGGCACCAGGTCACACGCCGTCATCCTGTGTCCTAGTACTCCCCTCTAACTCACCGCAGTGCATGTGAGTCAGGTGTTGGTGACCCTCCGGCCCAGATGTTCGTGGCAGCTTGGATGGTATGCACCTCTCACTCACCGCGAAAGCTACTGTGTCTGTCCTGAAAGTCAGGGTGTGCTGACCTGGTGCTGTAAAACCTGAATAAATAAGTCCCTGGGAGTGCCAGAGCAATTAGCCTTACCATGCCAGGGACATCCTCATATTATAGGCATCTCTCCAAAGCTGCTTCTTTGCACCCAGAGAAGATTTCCAGGTGAAAGAAAACCTGAAACAAACAGTGAGTCTGAGGAAATTTGGGTTGAAATAGCTTTTGCATCAGGCAAGATTGCTTTCTTTTTGTTTCTGGAAAAACTCATTGACCAAGTCACCTCAAACCACAAATAACAGCAACCTTGTTTTGTAACAAAATTAATGTTTTCTATGGGGAGACAAGGGATGCTTTATAAAATGCATGGCATCAAAGGCCAGTCTTTCACTTTTGTCTAGAAAAAGGCAAGGTGTCTTGTCAGGATGTATAATTTCCCGAAGGATGGACATACTGGAACAAATAGCATCCTAGTTCCTGCTATTTCTGAACCGCAGTATGCATTGCTGTGGGAGACCTACCCGCAGGGAGCCCGGGGCGGGGGGAGGATGGGGATGAAGGACGAGGAGGAAGGCGGCGGAGAGCCCTGTTTTGCAGGGTGAAGGCCAGAGAAGCCCGGCAGGGTGCTGGAGAGGCTGGCAGGTCGGCTGGGACAGAAGGAGCAGACGAAGGCATCACCGCCACCCTTTCCCTCGCCCAAGCACTTGTATTTTTTCTCCGAAAGCGCTGTTTTTCAGTGTCACATGGCTTAAGTGAAACTTTCCTTGAAGTCCTCCAGTCAAGTCAGCCCGCGGCACCAGAACAAACGGGAGCCCAGAAACCGCAGCACGCAGCGAAAACCCACCCGGAGGGCACGTTTTCCCCGCAAAAGCCCTGAATTTCTGGGGGGCGGGAGAGAGGGGGATACAAGGCAGTGGGTGCGCGGGAAACGGGGCTGCAGATGCAGGCTGAGCTGAAGGATGGATCAGGAGAGGAGGAGGAGGAGAAGAAGGAGGAGAGGGAGGAAGCGCGACCCGAGGCGGAGGGGGGCCGCTCCGGGGGGGCCCGTCGTCGCCCCGCGCTGCCTCCTGGCTGTGGGCGGGGTGTCGCCGCCCTTGGGCCGCCGCCGGGGCGGGCCGGGCCGGGCCGGGGGGTATGGCGGGGGAGGAGGAGGAGGAGGAGGAAGAGGGGAGCGGGGGTGTCATGCCGAGAGCGCGCGTCGCAGCCCGCCAGGCCGCGGCCCGACCCGCACCCCGGGGCGCAGCCCTCCGCCCTCCGCCGCTCCCCCAGGACAGCGGCCCCGCTCCCCGCCCGGCCCGGGGCACCCGCGCCCCGGGCAGCAGCCAGCCGCGTCCCCAGCGGGCGGAGGGAAGGGGGGAAGGAGAGCGGAGCCCTCTCCACCGCTCTGAGGAAGGGGAGGGAAGGGGGAAAGTTTAGCGGAGGGTGTTTGAATCGGGAGTTATCCCTAAAGAGCCTTTCCCCTGCTCTGATCCAGAGGGCAGCGCCGGGAGGAGGGGGCGGCGACGGCGAGCAGCCCCGCAACATCTGTAAAACTTGAAGGAAGCGGTCGAGAGGAGCGCGCGAGAGAGAGGAAAGCGAGACGGACAACTTTTCCGACACGTGAGTATCTCGGCGCGATGTGTTTGTTCCCCTCCTTTCGTGGCTGCTCCGAGCCAAAACAATGCGGGGCGGCGGCGGGGCCGGAGGGGACGGGCGGGACGGGACGGAGGGGTCCCCCCTTCCCTCCGAAAACTGGTACCAGACGGTGGATTTCTGGGGATATTTTTTTCTTTTGCTCCCTCTCTTCTTTTTCTTCTTCTTCTTCTCCTCCCCCCCGGCTCTTTTTGTTGAACCAAATCAGAAATGTCAGTCAGTGCGAGTGAGTCAGAAGGGATCAGATTACAAGATCACTGAAACTGATGTCGGACCCGCGCACACACACCCCCACACGGAGGCAGAGGCGCGGGCTGCTCCCCGCGGGAGGCGGGCAGGGATAAAACAACCACCAACAACACCCGCCGGCCCTCCTCTGCCGCCTGCGTCCCGCCTGTGCCCCGTCCCGTCCCCCTGCCCCCGCGGGATGCCCGCCGGCTGCGGCGGGGGCCGGCCCCGCTAGCTGCGGCGGGGAGCGGCGCGGGGGCGAGCGGGCGGCCCCGGCCCTCGCCCATGGGCAGCGCGGGGGCTCGGCGGCAGCGGCGGCGGCAGGTACGTACCTACTTGGGCGAGAAGTTCTTTGTTCCCCTGGCTCTGCTCCGGGCCACTTTCTTCTCGCCTCTCAGCTCTCCGGCCCCGCTCCCGGCCCCCTTCCCGCTTCCCTAACTTGGAGGCGGAGGGCAGGGGGGAGCGAGGTGTCTAACCCCCAAAATGGCTGTCACGGAGCGCGGGAGCCGAGGACGTGGGGTGCGGGGAGAGGCGGGGGCAGTCCCCGCTCCGGGCCGGGCCGGGCCGGGCCGTGCTCGGCCGTGCGCGTCCCGCGGCGGAGCTGCCGATGTACGGGTGGCAGCTGTTGTTTTATTTCCACTCCCTTCCTTCTCCTCGCCCCCTTTCCCCGAGCGGCTCCCGGACGTTTTCATGCCCGTGCGGCAGGAGGCCGGCCGCAAACTTCGCAGGGGGAAAGGCGAGAGGAGCGGGGCAGAAGGCGCTGTCACATCTGGCGGATCGGAGGGGCGGCCGTCACTCCCCGCCGGCTGCTCCCTGCGGGCAAGGGGACAGTCGGGTCCCGATCGGGAGCGGGGTGCGGGGGTGCCGGCGCCTCTCTGTGCCGCTCCGTGCAGCCGCTGGAACGGGGTCGGGCTGGGGAGCGGGACGCCGGGCCGGGCCGGGCCGCGGCGGGAGGAGCGGGGCGGCTGCCCCAGGGGAGCTCCTCGGCACCGCGGCCCGGCCCCGTGCCGCCCAACTTCGGAGGGTGGAAGCAGAGCGTGTCCGCCGCAGTTCCGATTGTCCCGTGAAGTCGGTGGGGTGTTGGCGCCCGCTCCCCAACCCGCGCACCACGTGAAGAAAAAAGGTAAAAGGAAACACACGCCCCCCGCTCCCCACCTCACTCCCCAATTTTGTTTTTAACCCTCTGGTGCGTAGTTTTGATCCGGGCCTGCGGGTACGGTGTCCGTGGCTTTCTGCCAGTTTGTATGTAGATATATTTATGTAAAACATTTTCTCCCAGCTCTTTGCCAGCTGTTCCACATTTTCCAGCTGCCACTTCAGTTTGAAATGATGGACTGTACGGATCTGAAAGAGCCTTTTAGTCAGAGGTATGGATAGCTGTCCGTTTGATACACAGTGTCACGTTTTAGAGGCTGCTTCACTAAAGGCCTATTAAGTAGCAACCCTCTGCAAAATGCTGGTCGCTGTCGTGCCCCTGATAGTTCCCGCTTCATCTACAAGGGTCAATAAACGTGATTTTTTTAAGCTTCAGCTTGTAGACTTCGTTTCTTTTGTGTGCGTGCTACAGAAAAACTTGGAAGCAAAATTTTCCAGAGGCCTTGAGATATGTGGCTGATTAAATCGACAAACATTTTTAAGAGGGCATAGCTGCCTCTCTCTGTGTGATGTAGGTATCTGTTTTGAAACCGTTTAAGTCAGTGGGATAGTGAGAAATCACTATGTTTCTCTGTGTTACAAAATTGGTTTTGATGTGGTGTTCAGCGGGATTATGGATTGAAATGTGCAAGAACTGGCCTTAAGTAGTTTGAATATTTGTGCAATTGCATTGTAATTTGGAAAGGTGCCTCACTGATTGATTCCTATAATTATTTCATTTAGATCCTTTATTAAAAATTAATAATGATCTGACAGTTTCTTAATTATATATGTCATGATTATTTTGAAGGAAGACGAATACAGTGTTTTAAAAGTAAAGTAACCTTAAAGTGTAAAAATTGCTGTGTCTGCACCACTGTATTTCAGTTGAGGAAATATATATTAAAAGTAATGGTGAATGAGTTTGGCAATGTAAACTGTAGGCAGCCTCTTGAGAGTTTGTTTATATAATGAAGGTTTGGGTTTAACTAGCTAGTATGTAAATACTTTCAGTTTGGTGTATAGCCCAATTCTAAAAGCATAAATAATAGTAATTATGAGAGAAGGCTATTTTAAGGAGGGGGGATTATTTCTTTAAAAGCAGGATTATGTGATTTTGAATGAGTAGGAAGAATGAGTAAGAAAAGGACTGTCTCAGTGTATGTATGTTCTTTTAAGCAGCAGTGGAAGTAAAATGATCGCTTAAGGTGCCCAAATGAATGCACTCTTGACTTCTGATAATAGCATATGTTTTTCAGTAGAACATGCTGTTTTCCAGAGCATTTCTATGGAAGTACTGCAAAACAAAGACATCACCTGCATTTTCCTGCTTAAGTGGAGTAAACGTTTTTTGCTTGAGAAGACATAACTGTGGCCAAGACAGCATTTTACTGCTATAATCTTCAGTCGTGAAAGATTGTTCATTTTCAAACACAAAACCAATTTGTAACTAAGAAATTAAAATATCAGTAGTTATAAATAATGTTTTTCTGAATAGTTTTTTGAGAAACCGAAATAGTCAAGTTTTGAGATATTATAATTTGTTCACCTTGCAGATTACTTAACTTTTTAAGAAGATAAATGTATGCATTGATAGTGACCCATGAAAGTTTCAGTTACGCTTCCTGCCTCGTATTTAGAAAGCTATTTCATTACCTGCACTCCCCTAGTGTGTTTGAATTTCATCCTGTGTGTTAAAGGAAGGAATGGCATATTTTTATGTTGCAGAGTCTAGTGAAAAGTTAGTCATTTTTGCCTGGTAAGTAAGGAATGTGATGGTTATTAAAGCAGGGTTTATTTGGAGTTGTGGAAGGAAGCAGTTTAATGATCAGTGTTGCGTGCCTTCAACTATATGAAGACAGTAACGTACAAAGAAAAAGCAGACTTGAAGGAAAAGTGAATCAACGAGTCATGAAATCCTCAGGAAAACCATAGTAATGGAATGTTAATGCTTTTAGACTATAGTAGATTACCTTAAAAGTCAGGCTTTTCTTCTTTATGCAGTTGTTGTAAATCCCTAGCTAAAGAATACTTTGAAGAAGGCTTTAGTTTTTCTGGCACTCATATTCTGTAGTAATTCTGGTTGTTTTGGAAGATTCAAGATATTTTCTGCCAACTTGCAGTTAAGCAATTAAAATGCTAAAATGGCTACAGAGGAAGCTTTTTACTCAACAAAAGGTTCAGCTGTAATAATGATTTCAAGTTGTCTTTTAACCACAGGTTTTATAGACCTCCTCCCTTTAGACTTTGTCATTTTTATAAGGGAATTGATTTGTTATACTTTAAAATCAAATAAAATGAGACAGAATAAACAAAAATAGGGCATGGGTGCTGCTGCAAACTTTTCAAGTTCTTTCAGTGCATTTTTCATCTTTACTTTTATTTGATAGGTCTGTGAAATAGAGCTGTAGACTGGCAGACTTTAAATGAAATTTCACACTTTGATGATTTTTTTTTAAACTTTGATATATTGACAGCAAAAGGAGCTGCAAAGCTTTTATATAACTTGAGCAGTAACGCCAAGCAGCAGTCAAACGTCTCTATGCATTTGTGTTTAACTGCAGAAGAAAAACATGTCCATGGGCAGTAGAGGGTTCTTATCAACTCCCTAATCCCAGATCCCAGCAAACCTTGAGGGCATGCCTCAGATCTTGCTGAAATCATTGTAGACTCTCACAGTTTGCAGATTAAATATGCTATGTGTTCCTGGCTCCAACAACAGTTTTATGAGCTCACTAAGCTTCCTGTTTTAAGATCCTTTTCTGAAGTTTTTAGGAGCTGCTAAAGGCGTTGCTGTCTATGGCAAGTGCTACTTGTTAATTTAGGGACACTTTAGATATTTCATTCTGTCGGTAAAAAGAGCCAAAATTACTATTTTCAAATTGTAAGTCGAGTGTCACTGGAAAAAAAAAGGAGCTCCTTTAAAGAGGGATTCTGTTGTTTTAATGTGTTTGTCAGTACAGAAGGTGACAAAGTTTATAGGAGGCTTGATTTGTTTTATGGGGGCTTGACTTTGACCAGACTCTTTAAAATGAGGCTTTTTCAGTTGTAATTCTAAGCACAATGCAGCTTTTAGTACATAATTTCTGAGCCTCTTTTAACCAATTGTATTTGTAGCAGCTCATTAAACATACCTTTGAAGTTCTCATTCTCCTTTAAGTCTCAAAGAAGGGAAAATGTATTTTGCCAAGAATGAATTTCAGTGAATCAGGTAGTTAACCCTGGAATTTGTTGACCCTTCTGAACGAATGGTATTGCACTTCATATTCCGGGTCTGGTCTTTTCCAGCTGCTAAATAGTTAACTCTTATATTTTATTCACTGTAATCATGTTTATGTATTTGGCGTAATAGTTTTAATTAAAAAGGAAAATACTTATTGTCCAACAACATGGGTCATGTTATTCCCCAGAGAACTTGAGCCAATTTTGCGCTTAAAGGTTATTCAATGAATGAAATTTTGAAAGCCCATTTGTCAAGGTACTGCACAGTTTCTGTTAGTTTTCAACCCTCAAATTCATTGTCCGCGTGGCCCAGTCATTAGTCAGCAGTGTATTATGCTGCCTTCAAGCAATGCTGCCCAGCACTTCTTTGCACCACTATAGCTCTAAAAGTGTACTCTGCCGACTGGTAGAATTACTGCTCTGATTTCCGCTTGGCTGGTTTTGAGGTAAGACCCCTCCCTACCTTCCAGCTCACTCTAATCCCTGCTTTCTCTTAAGGCTGCTTTCTGCAGAGATTTAGGGGAAAACTTTCTTAAAGATTGTGCTGGCATCATAGTGTGGTTTTGTTGTGGTATACACTGTACATGTAAATTGTACTTGCCTTACCTTGAAAGCGTATTATATTGGCTGCTGATCTGAAGAGTTGGTTTCTCTGTCTCTTTAAGAACAAAACAAGAAATGAAGACAATACACTAATGTTAAAAACGCCTGCAAGGTTAGTTAGATTACAAGGGAGAAACCAATTGGGATAGAATGTGTTTGTCTAAATAGTTGCTGAGTGTCAGAACTGATAATATCAGAATCCACTACCTGGAGATCTGATTGAATAATTTTCTTAGCTGAAGTTTCCACTCTTATGTCAAGTTATTTTTTGCACTGATTACCAAGAAGATTAAGCCTTTTTTTTTTTTTTTTTTTTTTTTGGATGGTCAAAATGCTACTGTATTTTTTTTGGTACCTGATATTTAGTTCAAGGCTAAAGTACTCATCTAACCTTTTGGTGGTTTAGAGATGAACCTCCCCCAACAGCGTTTGCTGCTTTGTATGATACTATGTTTTTTTCGCATACAAATCTGTTAATGTCAAGAAAATCAACTGTGTGTAAAGAATACATCATCCAGCTGCTGAGAGAATGAAGCCTTCATTAGATAAGATGTATGAATACCTGAAACCAAAGAGTCAGAAACACAGATCAAGTTAGTGTCAGTTCAGTACGCTGTTCTGAACCCTGTATATTAAAATGAAATTCTAGCACTACCAATTCTTTAGTATCAGGATGTGGTTTGGTGTGGTTTTGCTTGGCTCTTCAATTCACTATGGATGCTTTTTTCTGTGAAAATAAGACAGCTGTATAATTCTATGATTATGTTATTTGAATAGGGATAGTGGATTGTGGAATGTGCACTTGTAATGCAGCAGTTCAGAGTTGTGCTGTTTTGTCAAGTTACAAAATCGTGAAGGAATCATGATACAGTTTTACTGCTACTGTGAGACAGGTGTAAAACCTAAAGTAAACTGTAAAAGCTGAAGATAAAGTTTTATAAAGTACCTTTCACACTTGAAGTTCTTCCTGGGTATATGGAGTTTTTCTAGCTCTTTTACGTCTTAAAACATCTGTGTTGGGTTAGAATGTGAAATTCTGGATGGAGGCATCCCTTAACCTGAGAGTATGCTGAGGAGATAAACAGGCTTCCTGGAATGGGACTGTGATCAAAACATTGCACTTTCAAAAACATTCTACTTGATTCCTTTGATCTTGTTTTAAAATGCTAATTGTAAAATATGGAATACGATCTTTTCTTCTTTCATTTGCATATCATAAGTTGGGAACAGAAGGCACATCTTTGCAGTAGATGTATATTAAATACATTCTTCCTTGAGCTCAGTTCCTGTATAGATTGACACTGATATATAGATCTAGTTTTGATTCTAAGGAAACTTTCATCTGTTGGGATTGATGAGATAAAGTAAAAAGTGTGAAGAAAGTGGTCATTTCACTGGAATGTTTAGCTCCAGTGCTGGAAATCAGAGTATTTCTGCATTTTTCTGTGGCAGTTGTAGTCACTTCTTACTTGACTAAGTAAGTGATGCAAAGCACAGCCATTACAGATGTTTGTAATTTGCTTAACCAAGCTGTTTGTCGACAAGAAGGGAAGGAAGAAAACAGCCTGTATTGTCACCATAAGTATTCCTAAGTGCTAATAGGAGCATCAGCAGAGGAAGTCATAGGGTATGTTATCCACCAGCAAATCTTGCTGGCTGTCCCCTTGGCTGCCCTCTCAGAATACTCCTGGCCTTTCAGATCTTGAGCATATGAATGAAACTAATTTCAGGTTTCATAAAACAAATGTTTTACCAAAGGAAGTTATTGTCATTTGTTTTGGATTTAGTGCTGCTGAATTTCTGAATAAAGATGGAGGCAAAAATTTAGTGTAGACTTGGTTGGGAAGTTTGAGGTGTCACTGCTCATTTTAACCTATTGCTACAAACAGTACAGTCCAAAGGAGATTTTTTCATACCCGCCTGTGCTAGTTCTTTTGCTGCTAATCTTGCTTTGACATAATAATTAGAGTTTTTCCTGCTGCAGAGTTTGAAGCAAAAGGACATGTAGGAAATTAGGATTGCAAAAAAGCAGTAACACAGCTTACTCTGTATTTTTTAGCAATATTAGGCTGCTTAATTGGAAGGAGTTCTGATTGCTTCAGGATAAGAGCATTACTGGTTTTAAACACACCCCCTCCCCAAATATGTTTACACACTTGAAGGCTTGAAAAATATGTGACACTTTATATTTTTTAAGAAATAACCTTTATTCTTTCCATTATATTTAGATAGTTTGTAAGAGAGTCAAAAAGGAACAAGGAAACTCAAGACCATGTGCTTAATATAACACATGCTTAGATGCAGAATTAATGACTTGATTTGTTTGTTTTGTTTTGGTGGTGGGGTTGTTTAGTTTGTTTTTTTTTTTTTTAATTTTAAAGTTATGTTCCTTATTCTAAAAGATTCTTGGATAATGAATGGATTATAAAATTTTAATTCAGAGGATACATCATATCTGAAATGTAAAGCCACTAAGATGTGCTTTAAGTTTGGGCTCTGTGTTGCATGTTTCATGTTCCCAAACAGCAGCTTCTGTGAGGGATGGACTAGTTGGATATGGACAGTATGACCTGGATCCTTCATCCATTAAGTTCCATTTACTGGGTAAGAAAACACGAATAATTTCTTTCCTGGTGGAAAGCTGTTTTATGTAGATACAGAGTTTAATCTGTTGAAGTAATAGTAAAAACATTTAATTGGGGTTATTTTTAACAGCTTTCTAAATCCCAAAACAAAAGTAGAGATAATCTACTTTTAGGAGTGTGTGGGTGATGTGTATTAAAAGCAACTGATGTGCTGCCCTAGTAGAAAGTGCCACTTATTGATCCTACTGTTTACGTGTATGTTTTAAATATTTTCAGAACTTTTGGTAATTGAGTTTATCTGTAAAAGCGAGATGTCAGAAAATGTAATTCCTCTGGAGTCGAAAAACTCTTACACTCGATCAGTAGTTCAGTATATGCCATGGAATAGTTTCTCACTTAGGATCTTAATCACGAGGATGCTAATAGCATTGCTTTGCCTAGCTGATTGCCTTCGTGTTTTTGATCCTCTGTTACTGTTGCCACAAGCTATTTAACCTATCAGGAACAGATCAGACCATCATTAACCAGGCTTTAGGTGTAGTTGTTTTTCAGTCTTTATGGGGGGGAAGAAATCAAAGGAATGTAACATAGGAGAAGACTGCAAATAGTAATAACTTTGGAAAGATCGTATTAATATATGTTGTGTCCCTTAACTTGGGTTATTTTTAAAAATAATTTCAAGCAACAAATCTGCCTATCTGATTCTGTCAAGGGGGTTTTCTAGCTCTCTCTCTCTCTTTCTTTCTATCTCTCTCCTCTTTCTTTCTCTCTCTTTCTCTCTCTTTCTCTCTCTTTTCTCTCTCTCTCTCTCTCTCTCTCTCTCTCTCTCTCTCTCTCTCTCTCTCTCTCTCTCTCTCTCTCTCTCTCTTTCTCTCTCTCTCTTTCTCTCTCTCTCTTTCTCTCTCTTTCTCTTTCTCTCTCTTTCTCTCTCTTTCTCTCTTTCACTCTCTTTCTTTTTTTCTCTTTCTTTTCTTTCTCTTCTTAGCATTTTGAAACAGATTAAGAAGTATGCAATCAGCAACTAGTGCATTTATAGATCATGCATGTAATTTTTCCCCTCAACTTCTTGATTGTTGGTTGTGGTTTTATAAATAGTGGATATAACACTATTTGTGCTCTTTATATTGGTCTTAGTCTTACTGTGACCAGTTGTCTCAACAGGGAAGAACCTGAACAAAATTTGCCCAGGAGTAGTTAATGGGAGTTGCAGAATTCTGGTTTAGCTTACAAAGAATTGGGAAAGGATAAAACTATTTTAAAAATATATGGTCTTTAGGTTAGTTCCTACAGCTATTGCAAAAATGGTGTGATATACCAAGAAGTTAATGTTACAACTGGAAGATATTACTTAAAATGTCTGAGCATTCGTGCATTTTTCAGAAAGTACTGTCAGGGGTTACTTTGTCAGTGCAGCTTTGCCAGCAGATTTAATAGAAAGCAATGCTGAAATCTGGGAGGGTTTTGGAAGTTAAATGTACCTGAATCAAGCCGGTATAAATCAGTGTGAAATAGCTCCTGTATAATAAATTGTCTCATGTAAATTTTGCATTTGAATGTATCTGAATAAGATGCATTTTTTTTATCCTTAAATAATCCCAAGGAATGGTGTAACCCATGTTGATAAATTTGATAAAGAGTCCTTTATGGTTGAGAGAGACTGTAATTTCCTGATTGTTCTTCATGCCTCCCCTTGTGTTTTTCACTTTCATACAGTTGTGCTGTTCAAGATGCATTGTATTCCCAAAGACTGCTTCCAGTAGTGTGGATCAAAGTAGTACCTATGAACACTCTAACTACCCAGAGTCATTTCTGAAAAATTAAACATGCTATGTTTGCTTGCACGCTGATTGGGGCACTCTGGTTGCTGATAGCAATCAGTATGAACTTCCCTACTGCTGATGTAATGATGATGAATGCTGTGACACTGCTATTTCAGACAGCTCTTCTCAGTGGATGCAAAACACTTGTTAATGAATTGAATACAACTACAGCAGCATCAAGTAAAACAGGGAAAGGATTTACTTGGTTTTTTGTTTGGTGGTTTTGTTTTTTTTTTAACCCAACACATTAAAAGATACCCCTCAAAAATTAAAAATAAACGAAATAAATGCAGAAGGTTTAAGTTTGCAAGAAACATAAACCACTCTAACATGCAAATTGAGAATTTTAGATGCTTACACTTCAGCACTTAGACCAAAGGAAGTAGTGTTGTTGAAGTCAGTGAGCCTGTTCCTCTGAATAAAGATTACATGGTCTGGTCTTTACAACTAATGTATGCAATATAAATAAAATTATTTAATAAGTAGTTCAGAGAGAAGAAGGAGCACAGAGCTGAAGATTTCTTGAAAACTCGAAATCTATGTTCAGGAAGGGCCATGTTTCCTGCTCGTCCTGGCACCGGGCTGCACCAGTGGTTTTGGTTAGTTTGCACTGAAAGAAAATGGAACAAAAAGATGTTTTTTTTTTCTCCCTAGTATATTAATATGATTATTTTTACTACTGTAAGGCACAGTTTTATAATCAACATACATAAGGATTGGAAGTTAAATAATTTCAAGTTACTTGAAAGAATTCTTTTCAAAACAAGTTTCCAATGTATTGTCATTTGTCGAAACTTCTTTTTTAAAAGAGACAGTTTTCCTCATTCCAGTTCATTCCAGTAGCTTGTTCCTAAAATTCCTCCAGTATAATATGCAGTTGGTGAAGGTTTACATTTATGTTTTAAAAAGAAGAGACACACCTGCAGGTTGCTGTTTTGAGAGGGATCAGGTTTAAAACGGGGATCTGGAATTAATTATGCAGTGGGTTCAGGCTTTAGGGAAATTACAGTAGGTTCCAGCGTGGTTGAATGGGAAAAAGCTATGAATGTTTGCTTTCAGGAAGGAATGTTTATCCCTCTATTTACCTATGAAAGTTCAGGCTTTTCCCCATATATTGTTATAGTATTTTCTTGCCACTTATATGCACATGGAGATGCTGGATAGCCAGCTTTCAGGTTTTTTGAAAGTGGAGCTTGCTGCAGAATAGATACAGACTGTCTCAGGCCTGGGGGTAGGAACAGGGAAGTCACTGACCCACATGCTGGAGAGAGCCATGTACACCCTAACATAAGCCACTTTATATTTTAATGTGGATACAATGTCAGGCTGTCTGCTTTTTAGAATGCTTTTTGATAGGGGTTAACAACCAGTGGAAAAACATCTTTACATTGTACTGGGCATTTTCTCTTTTTCGGTGAACTGTAATTCCCACATCTCAGCACAATTTCTGAGAGAAAATAAAAATCACAGCCAAAATTAAGGAGAATGATTCTAGAAGATAGGCACGTCTGGTGTGTGTTTTCAACTTGGTCTTAAGGAAAACAAAGATTTTGGGGGCACCATATTGATTTTCAGTTGACTGCTTCCCTACTGGCAAAACATACCAAACCACATACATCTGATTGTTAATCCTGCCACCTCTCCTGGTTTTCCTTACTTTCCCTGCCATGTAGTTGATACAGCACTGGAGTGTAGCTGGATCTGCAGGAATTCTTGCAGGGGCCCATGCCCCATGTGTGTGGGTTGGGAGCAGAGGAAGGAAGACACAGGAGGAAAGACCTGCAGTGCCAGGGCCATTGGCTTGTGGTGCACAGTGTGGAGCTGAGTAAGAAAGTTTACTCCAGCAGTGTTCCCTCTTCCACGCTGACATAAATAAAAGCAGCTTTCTGGATGTAAACTAAGCAGACATGAAACAGAACAGGTACCAAGAGCAGATGTTTATATCAGTTCTTGGCCAATTTTGCAATTTCTGTCCAAAAATTTAAGTGCTACTTAGGCCTCTGTTCTGTATCTTTTTCCGCAGTAGATAGCATAAAAAAGTGATAGAGAGTGATGGGAAATGTGGAATTATGTCTGCTAGTCTTTGTCCATTAAAGAAGATGACCCTAAAGCACCAGAAAAATCTTATTGGTAGTCTGTTAGGGAAAGAAAAAGGTAGCCAAGAGAATGGATGATGCCACTTTGAGCAGCCACACGTTGCTCTTGAATTGCAGATGACCCAGTGATGCTTTTTAGGAGATTACGGTTTTCTTCAGTACCTTCATCTCCTTCTTTTTCTGAGCAGTGGTTGGATCAGTTTGTAATCCTGCCATGGTGGAGAGGGAAAGGAGGTAGAGATAAGTGGGGGCTCCTCGCACATATCTGCACAGACATCTATGTTGCAGGAGGCAGTGGAGCCGCTGTAGATACCTGTCATCAAAGGTTTCATGCCCAAATATTTCATGCCACTCCACTGGCTTTGTGGAGGCAGAGTATGTGGCTTCTTCCTTTCTAGTTGTGTAGGGAGTATAATTGTTTCTTTTCATGACTTTAAACCAAAAGAAACATGCTTGTGAACCAAGAACCAAACAAAATGTGGGACAAGTTCTGCAGCTTCTTCTTCAGATTTTTCAAAGTCACTCTCTTTCATGTAAATGAAGATGCCACCTGAATAGCAGTCTTGGCCCCTAGGAGGGGAAGCAAAACAGAAGAAAAATAACCACAACTGAAGATGTATAGCTTTTTAAATTCCTTCTGAGTCAGCATAGAAAGTTATTCTTTTTAAAGAATGTTAAATAACTCAAAGAGGGTTATTCAGAGGATTGAAGGACTCACTCACGCAGTGGCGGAGGATGGGTATAGGCAGATTTTGGTGTTTATGTGGCTAGGGCTGTACAGAGAAAACAAGCATGTTCTTTTCATGTGTGAACAGCCTGGCAGAAATGCAAGGGACTGAAAAGCAAGCTATACATGATAACTGACCAAAGCTGTGGATGCTCTTGCATGAGGCGTGCAAGAGGAAAAGGGGAGGAAGCATATGAAAAATTTGAAAAGATACTGTTTACAAAGCTTGTGTGAGATCTCAAGGTGATTTGTGCATTGCTGGGTAAAAATGTTGCAAGTTGAGTATTGTTAGATCTTTCCTGCTCCCTGTTTAAGACACCTGACATTCCCCTTAGTTCTGGTAGGAAGTTGTTTCACAGATCACAATAATATTTACAGCACTTTCACAGATAGATCTTGCAAGTAGTTTTAGAAGTACTCTGCTACAGCAGGCAGAGCTTTGTTATTTCTCTTTTTAGCAAGCAAAAAACTCAAGGGAAGAAAAATGCCTTGCCAAAGCTTAGACAGCAGGTCAGTGGCATAGAGTCTCTGATATCTAGCCCAGATCCCTGGCTGTGCTGACTAGCTAAATAATGATTCATTTAGTGATTGGGCTCTTCTTTGATCCCTACTATATAACAATGAGGCTTTGGAGTGTTTTATTGTACTATTAAAAAGAACTCCTACTAGGAAGGTGGGAAGGGGAAGGTTTACTAGACAGTGATGAATTGGCTTTGCAACCCCTTTTTTTGTTTTGTTTTTGTTTTGGTTTAGTTTTTTTGGATTGATTTGGTTTTGTTTCCTTTTTTTTTTTTTATTTTGACTGTCAGAATTCAGGAAACAGGTTCGTAATGTAATTACGCTTCATTATACTTTGTGGCTTTTTTTGAAGCCTTTCTTTTTTATTTTATTCTAGAACAGCGTGACTTCCTTCTATTTCAGACCCGTTTCGCTAATGACTGCAGTGCTGCTCAGAGTGGAAAATACTCTCTTTATTATTATTTTTTGTTGTTGTTGCACGGGTTCATGTTCAAACTACCAAAGTACTGTTTCTAAGCACGGTGTGTGCTGAATATTGATGATTTGTGTAAAGCTTAATTGGACAGACAGGTGTGCATCAAGTTAAGTTGCAGACCAGTGCTTGGAAACGCTTGTCTTCACAGCCCAAGATCCCTTCAGTCTTGGGGCCTGATGTGCCTGCACTGGTGCACAAGCACTGATACCCTTTAGGAAGCTTGGGCTTATATGGGTTTATATTTGGCTTCTTGGGTTTATATTTGGAATGTAAAAGATCTGAGAATAAAGAGAAATGGCCAGGAAAGGCAAAATAACCAGACACACATCTCTATAGAACTTTCCATTTCCAGTGTTTTCAAGCAAAAGAAAGTGATCTCATTATGTGCCACCAGCAATAATATTTGCCTTTCCCTGTGGTTTTCAGGATGTTGCTCCAATGCACTTTTGTTTGAGTTAGATTTCTGAACAAACAAACTGAGAGATATTTACACAAGTAAGACAAGGTGTAGAGATAGACAGGATAATTCCCACTGCAGTGTGCTGGGGTATCATGAAAGCTGAAATTTAAATATTTGGCTTCTAGAGTCAACACGAAGGTCTGTCTTGATTTTTTCTTTCATTGTTCCAAGGTGCTCTGGACATATGAGAAAATACCAGTTTTTTTCCCCCTGGATCCATTAAAATCCTACAGGATTGAAAAAAATGGACCTACCCATCAAGCAGGCAGCATAGTGGTTTTTCATGATGATTCTATTTAAAAGCAAACATGCTTATTTTTGGTGTTAGTGTTTCTTTAAATTCCTCAGGAATTCATGCATGCAAACATAATTTGATGAGCATACAGAAATGGCCTGTGAACTGCTAATTCAGTTGTGCTGCAGGCTCTTCTTCAGGTGAGAGGTGTGAAAAGTTTTGGGCTAAGATTTGGAACAGTCTTTAAAGTTTATGACTCTTGTTTCATTCAGGTATTAGTGCAAGGAGAGCTGAAGTAATGAGAAGTCATCATGGAGGCACAGTCCCATAGCTCTACCACTACAGAGAAGAAAAAAGTGGAGAATTCCATTGTGAAATGCTCCAGTCGAACAGATGTCAGTGAGAAAGCTGTTGCCTCCAGCACAACTTCCAATGGTGAGTAACAGCAGGGATTTACTAGCAGCCAAACCTACAGTAATTTTATGTTCACTGCATTCCTTGTGAATTGAGCATTTGCACCTGGATCAGTGTTTGTTTTAAAGAAAGGCTAAAGAAAACGAGCAAGGAGGGGGGTGTGGTGGAAAGTGGTAGGATACAATAAGGCCATTTTTGGCATCAGGCATAGTCTTTTTCTTCCAGATGTTCTAATTTGAGATGTAAATGTGCTAAGTTATTTATTATAGGAAGTTCCTGTTTTTGCTGTTTTGGAAATTGTCTAGATTAGCCTGGCAGGTCTTGCAAGTTCTTTGCATTTGGCCATTGAAATATCTTCCACTAGTTAGATAATTAGTTAATACTAAAGAGACAGAAGTAGCTCTGTCAAAATTAATGGCAAAGGTCTTTTTTTCCTCTTCTTTTACAAATAAACTTGCTTCTTGTAAAGGGCTGCCCCCCCCCTCCCCAAAGTTCCTTAATGGCCAGGAACAAAACCTCAAGCTAGGAGCCTATCCTCCTGTGAATTCATTTCAAAGTTGTGAATGTACAGCTTGTAGATTTGCAAAACTGGAGTAGTTTTCTTAATCCTCCCCAGAGATTACCTCACTTGACAATTTTACATATTCCCTGCCTCTCCTGAGAATGTGTAATCCCAGCCCTAGCCCTTTCATTGTTCAGTGTAAGAGGGCAGAGTGTATTGGTTCCTATTAATGTAAAACTCCCTTTGCATTAGGAAAGAAAATTGCTTGAAAGAGTGTGGGCAGAGTTTCGACCTGTGTATTTTGGATAGCTGAAGATTAACTGCTGTTTTTTTGCAAATCAGTTTAGCAATGGCTAAAAACAGAAGATACCTTTCTGTATATTTTGTACTCAGTGTATTCCTGGCAAAAAATTTTCTGTTAGTGCTTTCTGCTTCCGTCATGCTCACTCATCTGGGCTTGTGGTCCAGGTCAGATTCTTACTTTGATATCTTGAATAAAGGTTTCTGCTTTCTCAGAGAAACAGACTACAGCAGAAAATACATGAGTCCTACATCCATACTAGAGGGGAATCTCTGTGGGTCAGTAAAAATTAGATGGCACTTGTCCCAGTATCCTTCTGTGTGACTAGACTTCAGATTACAAGCAAACTCATCACCTGCTGACCTACTAGTTGGAGTTGATCCCCACAAGGGTATAGAAACTCTTGAGCAGCTATGGAAAAAGTTGCATCAGTTTTCTAAGGCATATGAAATTAGATCCTCAGCTGGTGTAAGTCAGCACAGATCAGTTGCTGTCAATGGAATTACAGTGGTTCACATTAGATGAAGAGCTCCCCATTGTTTTTTGGTTTTTTTTTGATAAAAAGATTTTCCACATTGGCCCAACTTTTCAAGCAGATGCACACTTAAACACATATGCATATTCTTTGATGTGTCTGAGGTTTGTACTCAAACTCAATATTGGCACATATCTCTGACTCTGTGAGCTAGTTTGAATGTTATCATTAAACATTTGGATTTAGACGGCTAAAATTAGCCTAATTCTGACACACCGATTTACTCTGTGGTCAAATATTTTTCTCTCTGTAACTGTAGTATTAGTTCTCAACTACCTGCTTCACCTAGATGGAGTATTACTGTATATCAGGGGCACCAAACTCCCAAGAGCTGGAAAGATTTTAAGTCTAATGAATGACTGCAAAGTTTTGTCACTGGAATTGTCTCCTATTAATGGAATGAGATGCTAATGTAGTACACATCCTGCGGCCTTAGGCTGCTATTTGTTAAGGTAATGACAGTTAACTTTGTTTTCAGTAGGTAAGTGTTGGTCTTGTTAGTCTTCATATTTAGGTAAATCACCAGGATCTCCAAGGTTTGGGTTTCTATTCTACCTTCATGTATAAGGAATAAGAATAAACGACTTTCCAGAGATGCAGGGTTGGGCTTCAAAGGGATAAAAAATTCGATTCCTTCTTGGATATGAAAAATTTCCTCTTAGTGTAGAGGCTCCATGGAGTATGTACCAAAACAAATACTAATACCAGAACTTTAGGAACTTAAACATGAGTTTTACTGTTGCAATGTTTTAAAAGTTTTGCTTTTTGCAGATGTGATTGTCATGATAATGAATTTCGGTTACAAGGACAGTTTGCATGAAAGCTGGAGCTTGCATTGCATTTGCATCTTTTGTTCTTTAATGCTGGAATAAGTATTACTACAGGAACATCTTCAGTTGGTATAAGACTCCACTCCTACAAAACACTCCTACAAAAAGCAGCTTTTGTTGATTCAGTGCCTCTTTTTTGCAAGGGCTGTGGTAATGTTAAGTGTCGTGATTTGTATTTGAATAGTCTGTTTAACAAGGTAAGGTACCCTTAAAAATAACAAAAGGACAGAATGATCCTTGTTGTTCCTGTCAGAAGACTGATGTCATTGCAGAGCAAAATCTGCCTATCATACCAGTCACCTCATAATCATGTCTAATATCAGTGCCTCTGTCCTTCTGGACAACTCATGAATTAACGAAGTTTGCAGGGTAACATGTACTTGAGTGACAAGTCTGAGGTGTGATGTACGGACTAGTATTTTCTCAGCAGCTCTGCTGTCTTCTGAAGGAGTCAGAACTTAGATCATAAACAGATTGAAAGCTGCTAGTTATGGTTTTTATGCAAAGCTTACAATCATGAAGAAACAAAGAAAATACTACTACTTCAAAAGCTCCCAGAAGTGAGTGACACATCCAGTAGAAGGATCTATGTTAAAATCGCTGTTGAGTGTGGAAAACTTTTAAATCATATGATGTGTGGACTGTTTATTGAAGAGCCTGGTGTTAACCTAGGTGCAAGGGAAAGAAAGTTAGAAAGGTGACCTGGAAGGGGAGCAGTGCAATTTCTGAGGCTCAGATTTGAGGGTGCCCTTTGGAAGGTACCAGCTGCACTGTAACAGGCATGGGGCACAGTTTACATGTTGGCCACTTCTGCTGAGTTCCTGTCACTACTTAACACCAAAAAGATTTCTGCTACACTCACCTAACTACAAACTCTGACTGTGTTGCTGAGATGCTAGCAATGTGTAAGATATGAGCCTGCCAGCATTTCCATTATAAACCCCTAATTTCAGGGATTTATAACTGAGCCATTAAAATGTGCTCCAGGACAAAACATGTGGGGAAGGTCTTAGTGCTGTAGCAAATTAAAACTTCTTTTAAAAAACAATGATCAAAAAAGTAAAAAAAACCCAAATATAATTTGAAATAACTAAGAAAAAACTTTGGTGCTCTTTGATACCCAGTGGGACCACTTTTCCTTTGTTTTGAATTAATTTTTGCAAGCTTTTGATTTTTTCTTCTTTGTGTTTAATTTTGTATGCCTTGACCAAACCGGATTCAGTTTAATAGTATACATTTCTTTGCAAATTGTTCCTTTTACTGCTTTGTTTGACTGATATATTTACTGCTAAGCTAATACTCAGGGAGACAAAAAACTGCTAAAGAAAGCTGCTAATGGAGATGTTAATTCACAAAAGGCTGTGTGAAAAAGTTTGTGCTAGGGTATAAAGTCAGCTTACTTTTCGGTATCGTGGAACTCGACAGCCTCACACTGATCTGCTTTGGCAAGGTTATAGCAACAACAAATAGTATTTGTATCATGACTGTGTCACCGGTATTACATTGGAGTAATGAGGCCAGCGTCCTGGACCTGGACCACCTTGCTACCACAGTTGTCAGGTCTTGTCTTCTCACGTGTGCATCCGTGCCAGTTTTCTGGAGACAAAGCAGTAAAGACCCTGTTCCCTACTATGTCAGAGCTTGGATTTAGGTCATCCTGAAAGTTGCTGCGTGCACACACACGTTTCTATGAAGTGGCAAAGAATGGTTTTCTGAAAAGTAGTGTCCATTGATAAAATCATTTACATTAGTTCTGTACTCCCCTTGGAGAGCCTTTCCCAGGTCATGAAACCTGCCTTGTTAGATCTCCACTGGATATTACAGTACCTCCTGTAATTTCAAGTAATTTCGAGGATTAAAAAGAAATCTTCAGGTGAATGCTGTAAACGTTGCAGGAGTCCACACAATGACTTGCCTTGCCTAATCGCGATGAATGCCGACAGGAAGGCTTGTTCTCGGCCGCTCCTCCGTGCTGCTCTGCCGGCGAGGGCGAGCAGCGTGCCTGCTCCCCGGCTGCCGTGTCCCGCAGCCTGGCACACGAGCTGTGGCTGAGACCAGCAGCACGCCAAGCCCGTGTGTCAGGCTGAGCGCTGAGTGCTGGAGCAGCCAAGTCCGCTCGCTGCCCTGCCCTGCCCGTGCAGCCGTGCTCACCACCCTGCCCTCCCGCACCCGGCACGGGGAGTCACAGCCTTCCCATCCCAGCCCTGCAGTCAAGTCGTGAACTCCAGTCCAGCCAACTTGAGTGAATGCCTTGCGTTAGCCACGGGACTAGCTCTGTTTGCCCTAATAATATGGCTGTTTGCATGCTCACAGTTAAGCAGTGGCTTTAATGCTGTACCAGGCAGGCTGCTTTGACTCTGTGCTCTGCTTTGGAGGTGAATCAGATTTATTGATAGAGTACTTCCTAAGAGGTGTTGACCAAAAAGAGCCATGCTAACCTAACACAGCCCTCAGCTCAGTGCCATTTGTTTTTTTTTCACTTAATCTGTACCATGGATATAATTAATTTTTTGCTTTAATTTCTAAAAAGTACGGGGAATTTCTGTGAGGACTGAATGAATACTTTTACAAGGCAAAGCTGCACTTCACAGCATTACTTGGAGAACATTAGGAAATTGTAATGCTGTGTTCAACCCTGATTTATTTACTGTTTGGCTTGTGAATTTTGTTGGTGACTAAAATGCTTTCCACTTTTGGACATTTTGGCTCTAAAATGATGTCTTTAATGTTGCATTAAAACAATGCAGTTATTGTATAGGAACTCCTTCAGTGTCTGACAGGCAAGCACTTATTTTCAGTTTGATGTGTTTTGTCTGGTTTTTGACCCATGAGCTTGTTCCAGTGTAATCTGAT